AATTAAATAAAGTTTAAGAGAGTTTCAGAGTAGAAGTATGAAAACATGATGAAATTTTATTCAAAGAAGGTTTAAGAGCAATCCAAATAAAGACAGTTCCTCAAGTCACTTTAAACAAACCTACTATTAGTACAATTGAATGTGTGAGCGAACAAATCTTGAATGAATGGAGAAAGGGATTTAGACAAATTTGTCTTCTTTTCTTTTTAAAAGTAGAAGCCTTTCCTTTTGTCACATCTTCTTTTAAAAAAACAGATTCTTCTTGCTGGCCATTTTTGCTTTCACTATCTGCATCACTTTTACCATCAGTATTGCTCCCACTGGATTCCGTCTCTGTCGGCAATGCTGAATTCTTACACCATTGGCATTCATGGTATTTTCTAAGGCTTTGCTTGAGTGATTTACACAGTTGTCCTATGTAATTCTCAAGAAGAGACACTAGTGTAAATACGGTTACTTGAGCAAACAAATGGATCATAGATACAGGGGCCTCAGAACATATGGTTTGCTCCATTGCATAGTTGACTACTGTGACTGCTGTTGTTAGTGCCTCTATGATACTGCCTACTGGTGATAGTGCTGCAGTTACACATGTTGGCATAGTGAATCTATCTACCAAATTGGTTTTGACAAATGTGCTGGTGGTGCCATGTTTTAAATATAATCTGATATCTGCAAGAAAATTAGTACTTAAACATAACTGCTGCCTAATTTTCTTACATCATTTTTGTTTTATTCAGGATCATTTAACATTGAAGATGATTGGGAAAGGCAAACTTGAAGATGGATTGTATTACCTTAAACAATCTGATCATCAACTCAATGATCAATCTCTTCAGCTTCAGCTCCAAACAAATTTTGATATCTCTCACGTTAAAAATTCTATTGTTCCTTCCAGTATCAATCATAGTTCTATTTTTAGTTCAAAGTGTAATAATTCAAACTATACTTGTAATTCTATCAACAACACTGATGTAAGCACAAACATTGATATTTGGCAATGCCGTTTAGGACATGTCCCTGTTGCTAAAATGCTACTTCTACATAAATATGTTCCTACTATGTTATTTGTCCAATGGCCAAGCAACACTGGTTGCCTTTTCCAAATAGTGCAACAAAATCTTTCAAACCGTTTGATCTCATTCATTGTGATATATGGGGTCCATATTCCATTCATTCCCTAGATGGTTCTAGATATTTTTTTGACTATTTTGGATGACAATAGCAAGACGACCTGGACATATCTTATGCGAAATAAATCTTAAACCAGATCACCTCTTCAATCCTTTTATCATCTTATTCAAACACAATTTCAATGCAATGTGAAAATTATCAGATCTGATAATGGATCAGAATTCCAAATGAATGATTTCTATTTTTCCAAGGGTATCATACACCAATTGAGTTGTGTTGAAACACAACAACAAAATGGTATGGTTGAGAGGAAACACCAGCACTTACTCAACATTTCCAGAGCCATTAAGTTCCAAGCCAATTTACCACACCAATTTTGGGGAGATTGCATTCTAACTGCTATTCACATCATAAATCGAACACCTACTACACTCATTGCAAACAAATCTCCTTATGAAATACTTTATTGGACTATACCATCTTATGCTCATCTTAAAGTTTTTGGATGCCTTTGTTATACCTCTACCTTGAAGAGACAAAGAACAAAGTTTGATCCTAGAGTCATCCCATGTATTTTCATTTGTTATCCTTATGGTATGAAGGCCTATAAGCTATACAATCTTCATACTAATACAGTCTTTGTCTCAAGAGATGTTTGTTTTCATGAAACAATATTTTATTTTCATCATCCATCTTTCTTTAAATCTTAGTCCAAACCTGAATCTGTTACTCAGCCTGACTTATTCATTTTTCCAGCATCATCTTCTCAATGTATAGATGATCTTTTTCATCAATGTATAGACTCTCCCTCCTCCCATATCCCTTCAACTTCAAACTCTTCTGATTTAGCAATTTCTTTTAACTCCATCTCACCTTCCTCTGAAACATCCCCCCTCTTACCTCTAGTTATACCTACAAGAAAGTCCTGCAGACCAAAACGTGCTCCTACCTATCTATAAGATTATCATTACAGTTTGGTGCCTCAAATGCCTATTCCCTAGTTATACTCTATGGTGAAAGGTTCTGAGAAAAGTTCTGAGTACAAGAAGACATATCCTATTTCAGATTTTTTGGGTTACAACTTATTGTCTGATGCACATAAGTCATACTCATTGGCTTTATCTACTGCCTTGGAACCTCAGTCCTTTGATGCATCTCAGCATCCTGATTGGTGCCAAGTTATGGATGTTGAATATCAAGCACTTGTTTCTAACAATACTTAGGATGTTTGTCAGTTGCCTACACATTAAACACCAGTGGCCTTTATATGGGTTTTCAAAGTGAAACTCAATTTAGATGGTTCAGTGGAGAGGAAGAAAGCCCATCTTGTAGCAAAGGGATTCACTCAGCAAGCTGGATTGGATTATGAAAAAACATTTTCTCTTGTTGCCAAATTAGTCATTGTTAAAACTCTTCTAACAATTGTAGCCCAAAAGTGGTGGCATCTTTATTAGCTTGATATCAAAAACACCTTTTTACGTGGTAATTTGGATGAGGAGGTCTATATGTTGTTCCCTCCAGGTTATGAACAGTAGGGGAAAATTGTGAACAATTGGTTTGTAGATTAAACGAAGTTAACTTTATACATTCTTTCACAAGATTTCAAACAATCGAAATCTGATTATTCATTGTTCAGAAAAAAAGATGGCTGCTCATTCACTATACTTCTCATTTATGTAGATGATATTATCATTGGTGGAAATAACT